CCCTAAACCCTACTAACCTACTAACCTACTAACCTACTAACCTACTAACCTACTAACCTACTAACCTACTAACCTACTAACCCACTAATACTACTAACCCACTAACCTACTAACCCACTAACCTACTAACCCACTAACCTACTAACCCACTAATACTACCCTACTACCCTACTTACTACTCACTACCCTACTCCTCTACTTACTACCCACTACTCTACTCCTCTACTTACTACTTACTACTCTACTGCTCTACTCTACTCACTACTCTACTACTTTATTCTACTATCCTACCCTACTATCCTACTCTATACTACCCTACTTTATTATCTATAGCGGTTGACCGGTTTACCCTACTATCTTACTACCCTACCTTACCTTCCTTAGCTACTAAGCTTATATATATTTGTAGCTACTACTAACTATAGCACATTATATATAATTAAATACTACTAGCAGCCACTATGCCTAGCCTACTAACTAACCCCTTCCGCCCTATATTCTATCCTCTATACTATCCTCTCTATTATTCTATCGACCTATATCTCTCTTATAGACCCCTTTACGCTATACCTCTAGTAGAATTAATATATATATCCTACTAGTATTAAGAATATATCACTCTATTAATTCCTCTTATATATTAGTATAATATATTATTAGGATATATATTTATAACCACTAAGCGTAATAGATTTCATCGCTTAATAACTTCGTGGATACTAGCCTAATTAAGATACTACTAATATTAATCTAACCGCCGAGACTCCCTCTATTAAACGAGCCTACCTAGGATTAGTCATCTAGTAAAAAGTTTCAAACTCCCTTTCCCTACTAATTATCCTAGTAACGTAATTCCCGGCCGACCTGGCCACCCGCCCGTCCCGGCCACCCACCCCCATTAGAAGATTTTAAATCGGCATATCTCAACCAAAACGGATTAATTGATATAAAACTAGTGATTATTACAACGATTGATCTTATGCCCAATCACCCCGCACCCGCTACACCTTGGCGGAGCCCTTTTGGCTGGCTGATCTGGCTGATTAGGCAGATCGCCCTGCGCATACGATGCTAACCTAATACCTTCAACTGGTTGGTTTAGCTGCTGAGCTAGCTGTAGGCCCTCTTCGACCCATAGGCCATCTTCACAGGGTATCTGCCTAGTTGACCGATTGCGTTTTTGTCGTTTCTTCTCGTTCGCTGCGCGTAGATTCGCATTTTCTTGCGCTAGTAGCGCAGTGTTGTGTAGCGATATGTAGTGGCCTTTGATAATCTGATCTAGTATAGTTTTTGATGGGCTCGGAGGGCTAGTTGACCGTTGCTTTAGTAGATCCTTAAGCATCGAAGCTTGCTTTTGGAGCTGAATAATAGTTTTTGGCGTTTTTGGGGTGAATTGGCTCGATCTGCTGCTTGGTCGACTACCCAGTGGTGTAGGCGTTCGGAGTGAGATATTAAGCTTTAAAAGCACCCTTTCTGGATCGATTGGCACTAGACTAGTAGCCACGAAGCTATTTCGAATAGTTTTTAGTTGAAAGGCTTCTAGCCGCGCGCGTTGGTAATCGTCCAAGAAATCAAACTTATCGATATGGTTATAGCCTATACGCGCAAGATCGCTTACGAAGCGACCGTACGCGCGTTTAAGTATAGCAAAACACCCAACATTAAGCGGTTGTAGAAGATACGAAGAATGCGTAGGCATACAAAGCGATATAATATCGTTTTCTGCGCAGATTCGGTCGAATTGGGGTGTAAGATGGCTTCCGTGGCCATCAAGAATCAATAGACGATATTTGCCTCGCGTACGGGTAGTAGTCGCTGGAATAAAGAGTTTTTGTAGCCACCGTAGGCTAATCTTATCGGTAGTCTAGCCGTTATTTGAGACCTCGATTCGCTAGTCTCTTAGTAGGTTATCAAATCAACCCGCAATAGCAACTTGGCCCTTAAAGATCACGTATAGCGGTAGCGAATAACCATCCGCGTAGATTGCTTCGATAGCAGTAACCCATTCGCGATTTCCTGGCTGCAGAATAGATCGCCGACCGTAGTATTCTGCCCGCGTAACCACCTTCTGCGCTGAAATAAGACCTATTGCAAATCCTGTCTCATTAAAGTTGTAGATATCCTCCGATTGTATACCGTTCTCATCGATAACGCGTTGTACAGTCGCAAACTACTGTCGTAGCGATTTTGGGTCTTCGTTTAGGGCGCGCTGGTAGTTATATCTTCTTGAGAAGCGTGTGCGAAGCTCATCGCGTCGTTGAATAAAGGTTGATGGCCAATTTTTGCCTACACTAGGCGGAGGGGTCTCGCCGCGCGCAGTAAGTAGGATATTAGCCATATCTCGCACAGTAGATGGCCTAGGCGCTGCTCCACGCGTATCCATAGAGATAATCCACCTAGTAAGCGAATCCTCTTCGTATTGGGTCAATTTATGACTAGATGGGCGTTTCTCAGCGCGTGAGGTTTGGCCGTGGGCGCGCGTTTGTAGTGTTGAACGTGGTATTGCGTATAGCTTCGCTACTGCGTGGAGAGATTTGATGCGGCCATTTTTAATATCATTAAGGGCTAATAAGATCTTGCCCTCCTGATTGGCTAATTTCTGCGAAGATTCAGAGCGTTTTGGTGGCATAATAGGTGGTTGAAGTAGGTAGGTAGGTAGGAAGACGCGGTTTTGGATGGGGTGGCCAGGACGGCCGGGTGGCTAGGTCGGCCGGGAATTACGTTATAAGGCTTGCTTACGTAATATAAATCCTCTAGCCTAGTAGCGAGAGGGCTATAGTATCTAGAACTTCTTCCCTTATTCTAATAGCTTACCTCGTTCGCGAGATATTAAAGGATTACTATTAGCCCTGATACTAGCCTTAAGGACTTTATAGGGTCTAGAAGTTAGCCTAATAGCTAAGCCTAGTACTTACATAAGGGATGTCTAGCTTAAATAGGGATAGGCTACCCGCGCGAAAAGGTCTTGGCATCCCCCATCAAAAATAATTCACGAAAACCAGACCCCCTTAGCCCTCACTATTCTAGGTCGAAATCTAAAAATGTAAATAAGCCAAAAGATTGGAAAGGCTTTAATATTAAAAGATTTAAAAGACCCGATCGAAAAATACTAAGATTTGACCTACTTAGGGGGGGGGTACCGTGTTGACTCGGTACCCCCCCCCCTTGCCAAGACTTTTTAACTATGGGTACCCCCCCCCTACCGGGCGATTCTATGTTTAGGCCCCGCGTTGGGGATTGGACGAATGACAGAGTATAGCCGGATAATTGCCGAAGCACAGCAGTCAGTTACAAGGGAACATATTACTTGGGACTCTCGCTTTTCCCCTGCGGACTTACACTATAAAAGAGAACACGCGAACCCATAGTAAAATGGAAACCTCAAGATTCTAGGGTATTTGACATATAGAAGGAATCTTATCCGCTTGAAATCTAACAAGGAAAGCCTAAAGTAGCTCGAGTTTAAACATGAACGTAATGATACTGTGGACCACAATGGAAAAGCTTTAAGCTTACTGCTCCAGAAACAAGGTTGATTTCTCACGCAGCTATGGACAGAAATATATCTAAGGTAACCCAAACAGTTACCTAGAGCGGAGGAAATGCCGCCTGCGACACCTTGCCAAACGACTGTACCCGTCTCAGTAATTTTTGGAAGACGGCCGGCAATCCGGTTATGAAAGGAAAGACATCCTGCGCGAGGGTGGTGGGGCTAACCCTCTAAGCACAATATCATTGGCCTACGGCTACGGCGAAGTACGAGGGTTATTTCCGTTATCTCCGTCGTTGATTACCGACAATTCCCTTACTGCCGAGGGGATTTTTGAACAAGCGCTTCGAATTGGCTCATTCTCATTGTAACATGAAGCCGTGCTCAGTTACAGCAGCCGGGAGAAATGTGGTCGGATGTGTACTAAGGCGATCTCTATTGTACCAGCCTTGTTGATTGTTTCTTTGCTCGGCTGGACCTCGGTGACTGGGCCTTAAAACGAATATTAAATATTTCTGAACATCTCCGCAGACCGTGCTAAGCACAGGCTGAAACTTTCTGTTATCCAAAGTCATCTCGGCCCAAACACCAAACAAACAATGGCATCTGCAACACAAGACGATGCCTACATTTTAGGCGTTGGAATAGCGGCATTCCTGAAGCCCCGCGGGGAACGAATGTATACGGAGCTCGCATTTGAAGCCGGCGTTAAGGCAATGTTAGATGCTCATATCACATATGACGATGTTGAGGTTGGAATAGCATGCTATGCATCAGGTCCAACCTGCAGTGGGTAAGAATCTGCATCAGAACCGGTGACTCTCTCATATTAAATGCTTTCTAGTCAACGTGCGTTCTATCAATTCGGCATGACCAGCATCCCCATTTATAATGTCAATAATGCCTGTGCGACGGGGTCAACAGGGTTGCACCTTGCTCGAGCTTTCGTGAGATCGGGGATCCATGACTGTGCTCTAGTGATAGGATTTGAGCAAATGCAGCCGGGCCCCCTCGTCAGTAGCGTTACGGACAGACCGACTCCGTTTGATTTAAGTATGAGGTTGATGGAAGCCACCCAAGGGAAGAACAAGACTCCCAAGAATCCACAGATGTTCGGCAATGCTGGGCGGGAATACATGGAAAAGTAGGTTTAGCCTATTGATAGTTCATTTGAAACAATTGCTTACACTGAGACTCTCTGTCTAGGTATGGCGCGAAAGCCGAAGACTTTGCGGAAATTGCACGGATTTCACACGAGCACTCGTCAAGAAATCCGTACGCTCAATTTCAGACCGTGTACACTCTCGAAGAGATCCAAAAGTCGCCAATGATCCACTACCCGCTGACAAAGCTACAATGCTCACCTACGTCCGACGGAGCAGCAGCAGCGATTGTTGTTTCGCGGAAGTTCCTCGACGCAAGGCCACATTTAAAGAATCATGCCATTCTTATTGCCGGTCAATCTCTCAAGTCTGATAGCACAGCCCTCTATTCAGGAAGTGCAATGGATCTGGTGGGGTATGACATGACGAAGCGAGCTGCGACTGCAGCGTTACGCGAGGCGGGCGTGGTGCCGAGCCAAATCCGTGTTTGTGAGCTACATGATTGCTTCTCTGCAAACGAGCTTATTTCTTTGGATGCAATCGGCTTCTCTGAAGTGGGAAAAGCCCACCATCTTGTTCGCCAGGGAGACATAACTTTCGGAGGGAAAGGTCCAATCGTTAATCCATCAGGTGGTCTTATTTCCAAAGGTCATCCCCTCGGAGCAACGGGCCTCGCGCAATGTGCAGAGCTTATATGGCAGCTGCGTGGCTGGGCAAACAATGGCCGTTTGGTCGAAAAGACAGATGTTGCCTTGCAGCATAATATTGGATTGGGTGGTGCGGTTGCGGTAACGGTGTACAAACGCGTTGATGGAAAGAAAAACAGTGATAGTCCGGTCACTGAGAAGGAGATTTCAGCGATGAGTGGCCTTGGCTATAATCCGGCCATTGAGGCCAGGTTCATCACACCTGAACAAGCCCATTCAGTGCGGAGTAAAATAGCTTCGTCTGATTATGCCCTGGACAATACAGCCAACCTTATTGCATCAAGGCTATGAGAGTTGATGCTGGGAACCTGAAGCTCGGGTTGGCGGAGCGTGCCTTTTAAATTTTTCGTGGAGGCTTAAGGCTTCTTCATCACCATGCTCCACCTACTCGCACGCACTGTCTCTTTCGTTGGACGTGGAAGTCCCTGTCTAGCAAGTAACTATCCAACCACCTTTCCTTTAATATCCATTTTCTGTGAACGATACAGTTTTCGTAAATTTCCCTGTAAAAGATACTATGATAGATCGGAAGAAGCCTGACCCCTTCTGTAGTTACCACTGGAAAACATGAAAGGTGTAACATCGTATATCATATTATTCACCAACAATAGTAAGCTAAGTCACCCTCACCTCCCCCAACGCCCACCTCCCTGGGGCTCGTTCTCGCTATGCCTCTTCCGGCTTGATATATGTGTGGTGTCACACTAAATGGTTTCTTCAAAACGGACCAGAAAGCCTCAGTATTTGAAATATCGCGAGCTGTTAGTGACTACACAAGCAGGATGCTGACATTGTAATTGTGGGCACACAGAATGATATTGACACTATCAATAATGGCTAGTTTGCTCCCAGCAGAGACCATTTGGATCTTGTATGCTAAGATAATAAAATATATCGGTAGGTATAACAAATCACTATTATTTGCACGGGTACCGAGGTCATTGTGATGACTATTAGTAATAGACTTTTAGGATAATGTAGAATAACGATCTATCTAAAGTGAACTTCGGCAAATACTGACCGTTTGAATACATGCGGGGAATTGAATCGAACTAACAAGGAACAGGATTTATTGGACACAGTTAAAATGATTGCAAACTTGGTTTTGAATAGGGAGCCCTGAATAGGAAGAGCAACCAAGTTTTCCAGAGCGTGGAATGAGCCAATGGCATCCGTGATGGAGCAAGCCCATGCAGATCCTTGATTCTTGTCATGGAACCCGACCATCAGCCAATCCTTGGAACTCTGCTGGACCTTCCATTGGTACCCCCTTGACGAAATTGGAATTTTCTGAGAATGTATCCAGGTACCAAGTGAGATCTCTCGTTCCGGAAAACTCGCAATCCACAAAACCATTACCCATGAATCCCCATCGATTCCCACTCCAATATTCAATCTCATAGTCTTGAAGCATAGGGTGTTCAAGCAATTCGAAATAAGATAGGCGAGATCCCGGCCACATAACAAGCTTCTTGGAGTCCTTCGTGCCCATTTTGTACCAGCTGTTGCACGGGTCAGCCCAAGTGGTGCGCGGTAGGTAGGCTTCGGCATGCTCGGCAAAATCTTGAACTGCTGAAGCCCTAGGACTTAGTCGCCGAATATGCTGCTTCCGCATTGTCTTTATGATCTCCAAGAAATGATGTGTCAAGAGGGTCAGGATAGGGAGAACTGTTCCTTGCGCCACAGGAGTAAAAGGTCCTCCATAGGAGAAATAGTTCGGGAACCCGTCCACACTGACCCCCAGGTAGCTGGAAGGGAAAGAAGCCCATTTATCTGCAAGTGATACTTCAGGATCTAAGCCGATGATGGGAAATCGGGGCCGGAACGAAGTATCAAATCCTGTAGCACATATGATCACATCGACGTCGTGTTTATTCCCATACATGTCCACAATGCCAGTGGGAGTAATCTCCTGAATACTTCCCGGTAAAACAGTTGTCTTCGAACCTGACAGGGCCTCTAGATACCCATTTCCAGGGGTGGGCCGGCGGCAATTCACGCTGAAATTCTTTGGCATGAGTGTTTCCATGATTTCAGGGTGGTTTGCCAATTTATTGCGCATTTCTGTGTATGCAAACTAACAGATAGAATAATTAGGTGACTTTGAGCTTAGGTCAGTGAAGTGTGTAAGCTTACCGCATTGACCTCGTCTGATTCAGCAGTGTCTCGGAGAAGAGTCCTGAATCTATTATTGAGACTATTCTCAATAGACTTATGATAGCGATGGTATTTCACAGGATCCCGATGGAATTCTGCTTTCTGCGCGTCGGTATCTGGAACAAAAGATTACGGAAATTAGTATGTTCTTGGCTAAACGTACAATAGATTATGCGAATACTCACATTCGAAGTTCTGGCCTTCCTTGCTGCCCTTCTTTTGCCCAATTGCCGCAATTATCCAAGTTGGGCTACGAGCCCAGGTATACAGCTTCGCGGCATCTTTATAGGCCTCCGCCACGACCTGAATACCGGAACTTCCATTGCCAATAACGGCAACTCTCTTTCCCTTCAGATCATAGCTCTCTTCATAATTGGCGGAGTGAAAAAGATCTCCATTGAAGGTGTGAATTCCAGGAATGTCGGGCCATTTCCATGAGCTATGTGCCTGTCAGTGAGACTCAAGGTTGTTTTCAGTGCACCACGTACTTCAAAAACCCTCCACCATTCAGTAACAGGTCGCACTCATCGTGAAACTCTTCATGGTGACCATTGCTATCCGTCTCATCAAGCTTTCGGATTGTAACCAGCCACTTGCTAGTTTCCTCATTCCACTGAGCTCCTACAACCTGGTGGCGTAGGCGGATGTAATTCATCATCCCTTCCTCGTCCACAATGCGACGCATGTACTGCCAAATCTCGCGAGACGACGAATAGAAGCGGGACCAGTCGGGATTACTCCGCCACGGGAACGTATAAGAGATGCTTGGAACATCGCACGCGCATCCTGGATAGCGGTTCTCCAACCACGTTCCTCCAATGTCGGCATTCTTTTCATAACAAACCATGCTAACATTCGAGTCTTTCAGCGATTTGGGGGCCGAATGTAAAAAGTCAATGCCAGCTGCTCCTGCACCTAGAAATATGATGCGGAATGGCTTTTCCGGGAGCGGCTCATTAATCATCGTTTTAGAAGGAATATAGCCACGGCTGGAAGGGATATCCCATTCCGGACGGTGTACAGGGCGTTCAGTCGAGGAAGGATGCGGGCCTCTGCTATTGCCTCCAATTTTCAAAGTACCTGGCAGACCAAAGGACTCGAACATGGGGTTACTGCTCGAATCTCCATTTTGACCTTGGTGTTGAGTCATTCTGGGTAGGTATTGAGATAGGAATGAAGTCGCGGCAGAAAAAAGACACAATAGAGTCGGTGAATCGAAGCAGACTACAAAGATGTCTATACGCCTTTAAAAAGGGAATACTCTCACCGGGTACTAGTGGTTCGAGACTGTAATCATATTCCAGGTGGTGACAGTCCAACATAGCCGAATCTGTTTCTACCTCTATAGCCGAACTAAGATCCTCGGACAAGGTCGGCAAAGCGGTAGGCCGGATAAATCTACTGCCCACTGCTCATCATGAAGACCGATCCACCCATACGAATTATTGAAGGTCCGCTTATTGCAGGATCATTACCGTTCGGCAAGGGCCGTGAACGCCTAACATACTCAAGTTATGCATCTAGAAATGCTTTATGCCCGATGTTTCATCCATTCTTTTTGTTGCATGTATTAACAAGCCGAAAGGTAAATTCGACTTTGACTTTGTTGATAGTGCAAAATCGCGGCATTTAACATAACAAATTGTAAAATGAGCCACAAATACGAGACTATTTCTATTGGACGAATGGGATAAAATGGCAGCAATTGAAGCTCTCCCTATTATCATTATGTTCCTGATTGACACAAGTCGGGGGTCGAGAAAAAGCCAGCGCAGCCCTATAGAATCCGAACGCATGGGAACAGGTGATACGAATACATCAAAATAAAGCAAAGAGTAGAATCACAGCTGCTTCCTATTACAAGACGAAGTATCCGTCAAATGTCTCTACGCATACTCAAAAATGGCCAGCCAGAAGCATGTGAGAGTCTGCGAAAACTTCGTTTAAGAGCGGAAGAATATCCGCCGGCCAATCTGGCTCGGCAAAGGTCGACAATGTGCCATGGCTTGCCAGAAGATTGGCAATCAAAGGGCTCGTGTCAGTAGCCACATATGGGAAAAACTCCGTCCATTGCTCATCAATGTCAATTGGAGAGGCACTTGCCACAGGCTGCCAACATTCTTGACTCACGTTTCCAGCATCTGGAGCCGGACAAGCCTGAGCTCCTGTCGCTGCGTGGTCTTGATCAAGAATCCTTTCAATTCCCTGACAAAACATCTTTCCAGGATATGATAATGGCGCCAATTGTGCAAGGGCTGTACGAAGAACACGGATGTCCTCCTCGGCGTGATGTGCCAAGCCATCAATGCGGCGTGCATGAATCAAAGCCAAGATAGCCAAAGCAATACTCCATGTCGCCTGTGTCAATAGAAAACGAACTGACCCACGAGCTAGAAAGTCTTTGAAGATGCGGGCAATACAGGATGCAGCTGCAATTGCCGGGATCTGGGCTGTCGGAACAGACTCGTCGCTCTTGTTCAGGTAGAGCAAAGTGATGGTGGTGAGGTAGCCGAGGTGGAGGTCGTGCACGTCACGATTGTAGTCGACCGTTCGACGAGAGCTGAAAGGTAATTGAAGAGAGGCAGGAAGAGATTGCACCCAATCGATCATCTCGGGGACAAAAGTAGGCTTCGGTGAAAAGGAATCTTTCGATTGGTACATCTCCTTGTGGATTCTTCCGACAATTTCCCACATTCTGACCCAGTGTACAAAGATAGAGGCCTTCAAATCTGCTGGGTCGGGGAAGTCATGCACGGTCACCATAGGTACGCTGCAATACTCGGGATTGATGAAACAAGGTCGGCCCTGGGCGAGGGCAACAATACGGTCCCGAGCCTAAGGAAAGCTGAGGTTAGTATTGGGCTTGAAGGCAAGGATCGTGATAAGAGTGCACTCACAAAGAGCGTCCACCATATTCTGCGCTTGAGTCCACTTGTCTCCCCTATGTAAGACTCTGCGGGGCCCTTATCATGATGCAGACCAATCTCTTCGGCGAGGCGAATGGCAGTGCCGACCCACCAGCGGCCAGTGTCTAAGCTCGCTACATTGGGTCGCCCCGGACTCCACCAGTAGAATAGCATGATGGAAATGATCTGGATTAAAGGGTTACTCTCACAATTGCCATAGAACAGGCTTTTGGCCCTCAAGTAGTGTTCTTCGGGATATGTGGGGCCGATGAGGGGGGGTCGAAGCCTGATGGCACATAAAGCCAATGCATTATGGAAAAAGGGCGATCCCAAAATTTGCGGATGGGAATCTAGTATGGCCCAGTCCAGTACCGGACACCACACATTGGCATATTCGAAATAAATTTCCAAATAAATGTCCAAAAGATCTTCGGAAATAGGGTAGGATATCGGTTCACAAACTAAGGGCAAAGGCTTTGGTGGCACTTCATCCTCCCCAGGCCTTTCATTGCTGAACATTTGCATATACCCAGTATTGCCCAGAAAGGTCTGGTGCTGTCGATACTCCTGCACTTTCTCATTTTGGTCGTTTGGCCAGATCCCTAGGGCACTCTGGGTACTTTCTTGGCTCTCAAGCGCACTTTGAAGTGAAAGAAGCGGAGATGGCTGTTGAATGAGTGGTGCCTTGGGATCAGCATTGTTTGTCGATGGGAGAATTGACTGGAAGTTATGTTAGACGCCCATACTGCCTGAAAATAGTACATGCACTATGAAGAGTGATTCATACCTCTGTCTCTGCCGAACTTGGCCCTAGGGGGCGCATAACCTCTTGCTCGACACCCTCATTTGGGGAAAGAGGTCGCTTCTTCTTCCCTCGTCTCGACTGGCGCATCCTTAAAAATCCGCATGTAAGCACGTAAGGATTGCAGTGATCATATAGAGGGCCAACTTACTGGCATGTCGACCCCGTACTAGCGCAATTGCAGCATATCCGAGGGTCTCCGGTCTGCTGGTAGATATCGCATTTGATCTGCTAAATTATCAGCTCTCACTGCCTTTTCTGGTTGTAGCTGCATCACAAAAACTTCACCTAACTGCTTTTTAGACGTGGACATACTTTTTTCTCGTGGCAGCGCTCACAGACCTGGCCGGCGCGCCTACTGCGTTTTCGGGAGTTTTCGCCGGCAAGCTCGGGATTATTATGCGGCATGGTGAAGATCGCTGTCGATATACTCTGACAGTACAAACATTGTGTGGTGACGGTTCAAGAGTGAGAATAGAAAATTTTATATTGTCGCTTAAAATTTGGGGCAGGCTTCAATGAAAGGCGGATGGTGGGGGGCGCAAAATGTGGGGGATCCAATGCGGGGTAGACTCTAACTTGAACTCTAAACTTCGGAAGTATCATAAGCATTAATTATGAAGAGACCGTTGCAGACAACAATTCCTCGAGGAGTGTATTTTTTTCCTATGGGGATGAACCAATACAATCATTATCGTAATTGAAGATAAAGCGTCACGAGCTTGTTTTTACTGAATTTCTCCTTGTGGGTTGTCAACGCCTCAGCCCAATAGTATTAATGTGCGACAGTCACGTGCGAAGCATCATAACCGGCAATTACCGAATACTGAGCTACAAAGCCTGACATTGCCGGCGAGATGACGTACTTCCCCGCTGAACAACAACCGAATCGAGAATCCCGGTGTTTTATTATTAATCCGCGGAATTTGCGAAGTGTGACTTTCTTTTGGTGCAAACAATTATTTCAATGCCCTTTATTTGAAAATTTGGAATGTAAGCATTCAAACCATCTTTAGTTTAGTAATCAGACCAGAACAAGATTATGAAAACGCAATATGAGGTGGGACATAGCAATAGTTATATTGAAAGCTCTCAAACTGAGAGTATCGCCTATCGGGAAGCTGGGGTTTCCGCAGATCGACCCGAGAAGGTCAGTACTCGTGGGGGGTGAAATCCACCACAATGATGTTCTCAATCGCGTCCAAAATAACAGGAGTGATCGAAGTATGATAAGGATCTTTGAAGGTGTAGTAATCTCGATCTTCGGGTGTGTCGAACTCCCAGGTGAAGGCGTACTCGTAACCCTTCTATTCTCATAGTCAGAAAATGTGTTGACTCATGGGTTTCACACAAAAGAGAATTCGTATCTTACATTGTAACCCTTGGGAGAGTTATTCTTACCGCCAGTCAGTGACTTGACCAAAGGCTTGCCAGTTGTTGGGTGCACTGCTTTGTCCTTGATCTCGCGGAGGCGAGTCAACGCCTATGACAATTAGTGAACCGTTTTCTGATGAATTTGTGAATGCTGAATGGATAGCTTACTTCCTCCTTCTGCACATCACCGATGCCAGGTTTGAAGGAGAGCAGCACAACGTGGGAGACGACCATTTTTGAACCTTAGTGATGATACCGAATAATTCTTTCACACTTATTCCGAGTAGCGGGACACATGCACAATTTATATAGCCTGTGTCTGGTTGGATTAATGGCTAAAGATTGTTAGTCGGTAAAAGGTCCCCGTTTGGAGCGGTAGCGGTAGCCGAGTACCCCGTATCTACCGCTGTAGTCTAACTGCCGGCGGGCAATTGAGTCGCGCTTTCTCAAAAACGCAGCGCAATACCACTGGTACCTCCCCCGAATGTATTTGTCATATAGTACTACGGTAGGAGGCTATATGGCAATAATCAATATCTCAACCGACACAATTTCGCTTTTACTCCTCGGACTAGTATGGTCTTTCTCGTTCTATTTATGGCGTCATTCCAAACAAATTGTTTCCTGAAAAAAAAAAAAAAAAAAAAAGGGAACACCACCTTGGAGAAACTGACGACTATATGAAGGTGCGTCACGAGCTAATGCGATCAAGACCTTTAATAGTTAAAAGGAACAAAGAAGCCACGAATCCTAGCAATTAATATGGGAAGATTACATTCACTACTGCCCACTGAGACCATTTGACCGCCCATTCCAAGCGTTGATATCCCGAATAACACTGTACAATATGTATCGTAATGCAGAGATGAAGGAGTCAAAAGATTGCATAGAGGATATAGGGAACATACTGAAGAATCCCGAGATAAATTAAAATGTAGTTTGCGCACTATTGACAAGGCGCTAGCTCCGCTCCCTTGTTTCCTACTTGGTTTGGACTAGTTAGGCAGCATCAATCAAGTTTCCACGGCATTATATTGCCTGTGAGCATCAAATAGAACATGTAGCACTTTCTGGACTAGGTACCCATTCAACGTCACATTCGGTGGGGATCCAAAATTGTTGCTCGACTCCTGATGTATCTAGTATCTGCCCGGCTCAGCTGGCTTCATTCAAAACTCTGCTCCTTTGCAATTTTCCCGATAGGTCCAAAACTTCTCTTCTAAGCTAGCATCGTCAAGCAGCTGGTGAGCTAGTCTTGAATCACATCCTTAATGTAAGCTTTCACGCTCCATGGGCCGTTTTCAGCATGCGGTACCACGTAATCACGAGCAAATCGGACATTATCTTCGTTGGTATCGAACAGCTCAAATTCAAACTGTCGCGCGACACGAGCGAGGACTAGGTAGAGCTCCGCATATGCCATACTGGTCAGTGAATTAGTGTTATGTTCGTAAGAGTCAAGTCCAATGACAGATTGTATGAATTAGCGACTTACTTAATGCCAATGCATGCTCTGGTTCCTTTGCTGAAACTGACAATATATCTGGACAAGCGCTCCCCCCTTTCGTTCGCTCGGATCCATCGATCAGGATCAAACTTGTACGGATCGGGAAAAATAGAAGAGTTCATGTGAACAAAATAACTTGCGGTTATCATAGGCGTCTGAAGCTCCGTCGTTAGTCGCAATACCGGTAAATATGTAAGACCAGAAAGGGATTATGCTCGGCTTTAGATCCATTGACTTACTCCTGCTGGTACCACATACTTCCCGTACATTAAATCCTCCTTGGGGGAGACCCTTGGGAGCCTCCAAGAGCCTCCTATAGCCATGCGGAGTGTCTCGTTTATGACGGCCGTCTTCGGTTGTAACACGCACGATCAGTATCCGCTGAGAAAGGCAAAGAAAGTCTTTTAGATCTCACTAGGTAAGGTAGTTGCTCCAACTCGGACCATGTTGGACGGCTGTCCGGGGAAACCATCACTTGCATCAGCTCCGCCCGTAGCTTCTCCAGCACAGGCTTGTTTCTAGTCAAGTGGTAGGCGCCTAAAGCCATAGTGTTTGCAGTGGTTTCTGACCCCGCGCCCAATAGGATCAGCCCTTCCTCACTCAGTCTCTCAATCGTTTTCTCACTTGGAGGTAGGCTTGGGTCAAGTAAGGCGTCGAAAATGGTCTCTCTATCACCTGCTTTAGGGCTTTTATTTTGTTGGACAGTCTCGCTAGACTGCTTATGCAGCCGAGCTCGAAGATATGCCATCACAGATGATTTTGGGTCAATGAGCTGCATTAACCTATGAGGGATGTTGTTCAGTATGGCGCAGAGAGGTGGAAAGAAATACAAAATATGGTTCAAAAGGAAAAGACCACCAAATGCATCTCTCAGATCATTTTCCGGGAATTGGTCTTCAAGGTATCGGTAGCTTGTACCGTAGCAGTAGTGCGTGATTACATCGGCGGTCAATGCAGAGAAGCCATACTCCAGCTTCAAAGGTCTCCCACTCGCATGGACTTCCTTCAATCGATCTGCAAGCTTGTCGGTTTTGTCCTGGATAATGGGCTCTAGCTTCATGACAGATCGCTTTGAAAAGAATTGATTCATCACGGAGCGACGCAGTCGATGATGATCATGAGAAATTGTAGATATCACCGAGAGTGATGCAGATAGCCGTGGAGGATAAGAGGTGTCCTTGTCACGTCTGCTTTTACTACCAGAATATATTTGTTCATAGAAATCCGGGTCATTTATATGAACCTGACGAGGGTTTATGCGGACAATAGGCCCTATAAATCTTGCAGTCAGCATCTGCCAATGACCTGGTATTTCAAGAAAGGCGAACCATATTTTTTGTGCATTTTCTCAACCTCCCAGATAAACTTCCCACCTTTGACCACATCATAATAAAACTCCACGAGATGCGTAGCTGCTGCCAGGCGAGGTCCTGGTATTTTACGCAGTGGATGAAAGCAAAGGCGATAGGTGGTCCTCACGATCAAAAATGAAACGACACCACATAGAATGAGTAATGTGGTACCCATTTCAGCAGCTAAAAGATGTACAGTGGACTAATTTGAAGTGTCTGGTGATAAGGCCGAAGTAGGATCAATCTGCTGGACATTTGTGGCCTTTTCGGATAGAATCCCCATATTTATAATAGGCCAGAGTCTCGGTAATTCCCGATTGCAGATGGATATGAACGGCAGAATTCCCCTACCTCACCATTGCCAGCAGGATTTAGAATTTACCGACACAGTAATACACGGTGCGACTTTGCCGCCCAAAAAGCGCCTGGCTATGAAATAGCCTTTGGGAATACGAAATACCCGTACCTACCTAGGTAGGCGAAGTATTAAGTTCCCAGAACTACCGAGAGCTTAATACTTGAAAGCTCTTATTTGGGTCCGCAATATGATAAAGGTTTAATGTGGGAACTGTTTAAATAATACCCCGCTTCACTTCACATGCAGAATGATTCCAGGTAGTGCGGTTCTAAAATATTCCGGGAGTATTAATGACAGAAGCTTTGAGTTCCGGCACGGCTATGCAACTAAGTTCTGAGATTCTGCTAATGCGTCCGGTACCCGGTTAGTCCACCTACCGGTGTCTCTCGCATGCTAGATTGGAATGACCTCCGGACTTTTGGTCCGTGCCAAATCGCGGGTGCGGGGAAGCAATCGCGACCCTCAAGACTATAACTGTCCCGATTTTCCGGTGCGTGCACATTTTCCATCATCCAACCTCCATACCAAAATGCGATCAAAACGAGCTCTTTGCTTTACCATAATCCTGGGAGTCTTTTACCAAATTTTCCTGAACAACTTTCTCTTCGTTTTTCTAAACATTGGGGGCGTACTTCAACCTCTAGAGGATTTCGGCTATGACTGCCAGCGCATTTACCACCCACTACTCGAGTCCTGCGAGGACCTTTGGCTAGACCAAGCTAGTCGCATTCTATTTGCAGCTTGCGGAGATATGAATAGTCGACAAAATTGGGTTCCAGCGTACGTTATCCGACAATAACTCGAGGATTTCATTGCTTGTTTGATAGAAATGAAATTGACACAATTCCGAGTACCTCAGTGCAAATAGCTTCAATACATCTGGGAGACAAAGAAAAGACCATTTCTCAGTTCTTCACATTGACAAGCTGGAAGAAGATGGTCTTTATGGGTTGCACAAACTCAATATCACCGGCCCCTATCGAGGGGCAAACAGTGAAAATGATCAGGTGCTAGATTTACATGGATTTGCTGCACGCGAAATCAGTGAGAGTCGTTTACAGTTCTTGGTTATCAACCACCGTCCTCCAGTGGATGATATTTCTGCAAGAGTTTTGCCTGACGCAACCGCAATCGGTGCAAATTCCACAATTGAAATTTTTGAGCTTGACCGACGGTCCTCAAATCTCGAGTTTATCAGGACCATTCACGACAAAAGCATTATTGCGCCAAATAATATGGCCGTATCAAAGCAAGGACGATTAATTTTCACGAATGATCACAGCTCTAAAGGTTGGTCTGATGAGTCTTTGGGTGTTTGCTAGGTGTTTTACGTTATCATTATAACTGGGGGCTAACTAGTCTGACTGACAGCTGGTCGGGTAGGTCTGCTTCAACACGTATCATTTAGACGGCTTCACAAGGCTAATCTAGATCCACTCCTCCAGTTCCGCAGGCTTGAGTCTATGTGGGGTACAGGGAATGTTGTATCTTGCGGAATAGAGACTGGGGAGTGCCATATAGCAGCGTCTCGAGGATTCTCCTTCCCAAATGGGGTTGTACAAGGACATGATGGACTACTTTACGTTTCTCATTTCATCACCGGCAAGATTACAGTTCATGAGCTCCGTTCCAATGACTCCCTGATTCAAGTTGACGAGATCAAGCTTGGCATGCCCCTGGATAATTTATCTATCGATGAACAAGGCACCATATTTGTTCCAGGATTTCCTGATATAAGTGCAGTGTTCAAGTCACTGACTCATCCTGGAACGAGAGGGATTCCTTCGACAATTTTTACCATTACGAAAGTTACAGCCTGCAATAAGCCAAAATACCAGGTGAATAAGATACTAGAAGATAGGGAGGGTAGAATTCTCCCATCAACAACGACCGTGATACATGATATTTACACAGGTCGACTGTTTCTGAGTGGCGTTGCTTCCCCTTTCATCACCGTTTGTCAGAAGCGATAATGAATTTTCAGCCGTCACGCAATGAGCCAGAATGATCCGTATGTATTTCACAGTCAGAAGAGTTGGTATTTGTCTCTTGCATCATGCCGGGCGCATACATGTATCTCTGGGTTACTTCCAGTATGATTTGTCATCCTTGATCATCAAATTTCGTCGTCTTGTCCAAGTCAATTTCATTAAAGAGATGAATTAAATCAATCGTAATTGTCCACTCCCTCAACCTCCTTTCCCCCCTGCCAGTCTCGTTTTCCAGTGGATGCGGAAGGTGGCGCAAAATAATGAATTTCGATCCCAGATATTGCGCCATAGTTTACCATTGTCGGTTCAAGCCTTCGCTTGTCAATGCAGCGTTCCCCACAAGATTGCTCGTCACCACTGGAGCCAAATGGAATAAGAGCTGGGGAGAGGGTGTGTTTGACACATCGCAGACGTTCACCGGCCATCATGCTCACCGATTTTAGTCGTTATTTCAAGCGTACGACCAAAAAGCTTTTCGTTAGGTGCCATGACGTTACATACTCTTGCATGGAGTAGTCACTGAAAGATTTGTATATACCTAGGCAATCTTTGTAGAAAGAGTATATTTGTTCAACGATTCTGATATGTGCCCTAGAGCTTGCTTGCCTTTGTATCAATCTTTGGTAGAAGCCGTCGCATTATCTTCCCGCTGGGTGTGCGGGGGATCTTATTAATGAAACACACGCCTCCGGTGAGCCACTTATGAGCAGCAAAACGAGACCTGATCAACTCCTGAATCTCCTCTTCTTTGACCCTCCCCTGTTTTCGAACCACAAACGCTCGTGGGTATTCTCCCCCGTTTCTTCTCTGGTCAGCGTCTTGCGCATGCAGATAATGAATAAGGCTCATGACAGGCTTACATTTTTGCGCCAACCACAGCAGCATCGGTTACATCTGGATGTTGCAGCAAGGTGATCTCAAGTTCAGCGGGGGATACTTGGAGGCCTTTGACTTTAAGCAATTCCTGGTAGAAGTGGAGAGTCAGTCATCTGCGCAAACGGTTCTCATCGTCGCTGTACCTTCATCCTGTCCACGATATAGAATCTGCCCCGATGATCGGCATAGCCAATATCGCCTGTCTTAAACCACATCTGGCCATCTTCGTAGGTTGTGGCAGCTGCCGTTGCTTCGGGTTTGCGATAGTACCCCTTCATCATGTTCGGGCCGGATACCCAGATTTCCCCAACTTCTACATCTGCGGGCGCGGTTCCTTCGTAGCCTTCACCGTCCACAGGCACAATTTTGGCCTTACAGTTGGCATTCAGCCACCCAATAGACCTTCCATCGTCTATATCATCCTGGGCAAATTGAAAGAGAGAACAAGTCGTCTCGGTGAGACCCATACCCTGTTTCACAGTGGCATGCTCACTCAGATATAGGGTTTTCAATGTTCGTCCTATTTCCGGGCTTAGAGGAGCAGATCCCGACACAACCCCCTCGAGAGCCTTTAGGTTGAAAGCTTCTGGATGTGGATACTTGATCACCGTATTGATGATGACGGGTACCATCGTTGCGAACGTTATGCGATAGATGTCAAGGTACCGCAGAAAGTCTGTAACGTCGAACTTGGACATGATAAATACCTTCGCGCCCAGTTGTGCAGCGTTCATGCAATACCAAATTTGCCCCTGGATAGTTAGTTAAAAGTGGTATTTCCATAAGGGTAAAAGGGTTCTGCAGATAAGCACTCACAAATGCATGGTACATGGGTAATGGAGCAATCCAGCGTTCTCCTGAACTATCAATCCGAGCTCTTCTCGCACGTCCCTGGGCTGTATTTGCGACAAGTGATCGTTTGTGGATAATTTGGACACTGTTTGCAATTACGTTATAATGCGATAATTCAACCCCTTTTGGAGTCCCGGTCGTTCTACATTGTAAGTCACTTCAAAGTAAATGCCATGTATATATAGAAAGAGTACTTACCCACTGGAGTAGTTGATGATTGCAGTGGTTTGTTTTGCTTCTTCAATCCCTGTGATCCGGTGCCATTGCCAGACCTTTGCTTCATCTGCGGAGACCCAAAAGTCCATCCAGGGCTTCAATGACCGGACTGGCTCATTGCAATTCTCGTTTGGGTTCAGGAAGAGAAATACCGAGCTTGATGACATGCCCACACTTTGGGCAGCTTCCAAACCCAATGCAGCTTTCGAGGAGTGTACTAGTAGCACCTTCGCGCCTGAATCCTCCAACTGGTATTTAAGCTCTAGTAACGAAAGGTCAGTATCGAAAATTTGTATCAAAGAGAAGGAACAAGATGAATGGAGAGCAGAGCTCACCATTTTTAGATGCTGTCGGCGATATTGCGGTAAACACGCACCGAGCAGCTATCACTGCCCACAGTAGAATTGGGACGAATAGATGGTTTGGAGAACAAAGCATAACCTTATCGTCCGGCTGCAAACCCAAAGTTTGAAGACCACGGGCGATGCGTTTGACGTAGATTTCAGCATCGGCAAGACTATAGCATTCCTTCGGATTATCCGCGTCGAAGTATCGTGGAATGATGCGCGTCGCGGTGGTGCCCCCGGTGAACACCCATGATGGGATGTCGCTCACCGGAATATCTACCGTGTGCGGAGACTCTATGATCTGCGATTGAATTGGCATGGTGGTGAAGTGCGTGAGGAGTCAAATATGGTGTTTCCCACAGTAGGTCTCGCGTAGTACAAAGTGAGAAATAAGAGAGACAGGCTATCCCACTTATGAAGAGTAGCTTCAGCGGACCAATATCTCAATCATTAATAATACTTGAGGATGATACCTATGAATACTTCAGTGATCCCGGAAACAACTAGGATAGCCGCCGGCAATAACCATTCGGCAACTAGGCCACGACAGGCCTCCGGGAAACTAAGTTGGGATCCAGGACGAGGGCCGCAGAGGGATGACGAGCGAAAGGATCTGTAAGGTGGTAGCCAAGTATAGCACTGGAGTCTATCATAGCTAATACGCTATTTTATATACTACATAATGTGCGAACGTATTGCCGAACGTGGGCGGCCCTAAAATCGAGCTCTAAAAGATACTGTCGAGGCGGGGTCGATCCGACTGACGACGAGTAACTCGAATTCCTTAACTCCGCAAACTTGTTTGACATTAGGTTTCCTAGTAACTTGATAGAACCTAACCCTGTGCTCGACTATAGGAAGGCGCTGATGCTGATGTGGACCGCAAAGAGTACGTAGGTGATAGGATACGAGCGTATTTGGACCACCAGACGCTGTTTGGGTGGGGGCGGGAGGCCGGGCCGACAGCTGGGCAATTACCGGGCAATCACGGTCGTCATGTGGGGCGGTCACTATAGCCGAGCTTGGCTGACCACAGTCAAGGTGCGTTTAAAGGAAAAGGAGAGGATAGCAGAGGACACATAGATGAACGGCGAACGAAAGCGGCAGTGGAATACCTTCATTCTAACCGGGAAATCTTATGGTTGAGCTTTGGAGTAAATAGACTAAGTAAGAAGGGAGACGAGAAGAAAAGCACGTAACTAGTCAACTAATGGCGCTTTTGCGCGCGAGTCAACAGTTTACGATTTCCTGTTCCCTGCTTTTCTTTTCTTGAGACGGTTCCCATAGACATAGATCGAGTCAAGTCTGAACATGTGCAGTGCAATGCAAATGTTGTCCACATAAATAAACTCTGCTACATTTTGTTGAAGTTCCAGAAGAAACTTTGTCGCATTGATACAGGTAATTCGGGTAACGACTGGGAGCTCGGCTTCTTCAGGAATGGCTACTTGGTATTATCCTTCTTACCATTTGCTATATGGCAGTTTCCAGCTCCTGAAATCTAACCCCCGGCTAACTCGGTTAATTTTCTACACGGTTTCGGTACTGGCAGCCTAGACATATATCAATCGGTTACCAGTCATCTAATTAACATTCCTATAAAATCAATCTCTCTCAAGAGCCCCGTACTGAAGCAGACGTTCCATTATCAATATCTGAGTGAGGTTCATTGCCATTTAGATTTAAGGAGCGACCAATCACATATGCTTGAGCATGAGCCTATTGTCAAAAGTGTTCGCTGTGACTGGGGGAGCATCCGGAATGGGCGCAGCAACATGCCGTCTGCTGGCCGAAAGAGGGGCCGGTGCGATATGTGTAGGTGATGTGGTCTCGAAGGGATTCGGAGCGCTTCAAGAGTCAATCGCCGCCATCAATCCATCTGTCAAGGTTCGTTGCAAGATTCTGGACGTGGCGTCGTCAACTTCGGTAGATGAGTGGATCAACGATATCATAAGTACATTCGGGGAGCTTCACGGGGTTGCAAATATTGCCGGGCTGCCCCAAGCTATTGGAGAAAGAGGGGTACCGGCGATCCTCGAAGAAACTGATGAGGAATGGCGTCGGATTCTAGGTGTCAATTTGAATGGCATTTTTTACTGCACGAGATCGGAAATTAAGGCGATGAAGAGCCTTCCCACTGCAAACAGAGCTATTGTGAATGTGTCGAGCATGGCTTCATTACAGCACAACCCAGATGTCTATGCGTATCGCACCTCGAAGGCTGCATGCTCTCATTTCACTACAAGCGTGGCAAAGGATACAACGAGTCTTGGTATTCGGATAAACTGCGTTTCACCTGGTGTGCCTTCCCTGCTCCCCTTGGTCATATATTAGACACAAAGCGCTTACATTGTATCAGGAGTAACTGATACCCCTATGTTGGGGAGCTTTATTCGCAGCTCCGATCAAGTTCGAGAAGGATGGATCAAGAAAGGTTGGAATTTCATGAGCGCTGAGGATGTGGCGCGTGTTGTTGTTTGGCTCCTTGGTGACGATTCCATCCCGGTTTTTGGGTCGAACATCAATGTCGGAGCGGGTCTTCCGTAAAGGGGTATATTTCGAGGAACCGGCAGTTTTTGTTCGACAGTCAAGTGCTTTTCTTTTCTTTTTTCTTTTTTTTTTCTCTTGGCAAACTCATTTTGGATAGAATAAGGCCTCAATGACAATTGTTTTATTCCCAAATACGAATGCTACTGAAATGGAAAATTTGCTCTCCGAAACGTCTTCCTCTACCTAAAAACGAGGAGACAGAAGGACTGATCAAGTCTAAGAAGGGAAAGGAGTCCATTAATGGTCGATTTAAGCAACAATGGCCCTTGCAGCGTACATATGGTAGGTGAACCTGCGGATAGTGGGAATGTACTAAGATAGACGGACCCTAACCAAACAGGTATTCACTGAAATCCCTCGCGAGCTCAATGGGTAATATGAATAACCTTTAGTATTCTCTATGCATCAAACTACGGTCTTCTGCAACATACGGCAGTAGCCCTGAAATCGGTGACTGTCCCCGATAAAGGAACCGGTTTCCGCTCAAGTGACGTTGGCTCGATCTAGTCATCCCGGCTTGTTGGCGGCCCACACTTTGATTACCATATAGCCGAAAGGCGTAAGGCTTAAATACCACCGCGGTTCCACAAGTCAAATTACTACAAAAATCAAATAAAGTCAACTGAACATAATGCTACCTAAGACGGAGTCAGACTCACTGGAAGGTGACGCTGCCACACATGGACTGCGGGAAAATGTGCGATACATTACTGGCATGGATGCCGCTGGCAATAGCGTTATTCTGGCGTCTCCAAGCCTAAGGTTTCATGACCGCGGAGGCTACGCAATCACCGCCATCTACAACCTGGAAAAAATACCGGCAAATATCGAAAATAACAGCGATATAACATACTATATGGCTTCTCAAGAGCCCACCCCTGCCAATCAATACAGTCCCACCTCCTTCCAACTCGTCATCCCAGGCGGTGCGAACTTTGTCCAGGGAGATTTTGGTCCATCCGCATGCTCTGCGTGGCACAGGACATTATCGGTAGACTTTGTTACGGTGGTACAGGGTGAGTTAGTCTTGGAAGTTGGAGACGATTGCGCGAATGCCAGCCAGGTGTCTTTGCAAACGGGTGTAAGTTAAAATCCTCCAATACATTATCTGTATACTTAATTGACCTCATTATTGTATATGCAGGACTCAACAGTACAAAGGGGAACCATGCACAGATGGCTGAACCCGTCATCTAAAGCTCCGGCTCGTTTTGTGGCAACCTTACTTGCATCTGTCCCTCTCAAGGTGGGGGATCGCATCATACAGCATACCTGGGTTTCTGGAAAACTACCGAGCCCTGAAAGCAAATGAAGAATTGGGCGTGTTTAAATGGCCTTTGGCAATTCAAAAGGGCAAACGCCCATTAGCATTAACATGGCCCTGGTCATTTAACTGAGCTACTATATTTTAAGACCTTTATCCCTGTTGTATGTATCTCTAAAATGAGTATCAGACGACCGGCTTCGCATAATCCAGTGGAATCACACATTCGGACATACAGTTAAGATACATGGTTGTAATCATCCCCAGCACTCATGCAAGGGACCCGCCATCCACTGCCCACACAGCACCTGTGACAAAAGTGCTCTCTGGTCCTAACAAGAAAACAATTACGCTACTAAGCTCCGATACATCAGCTGCACGTTGCATAGGACGGAACGCACTTGGCCGCTTCATGTTCCCAAAAGCCTCGGTAGCCTGAGTGAGAAGTTCAGTGTTCGTCGGACCCCTGTAGTTGCAGTAAGTAATTGATTTTTGGAGCGAAGCCTAATATTCACATACGGCAAAATGGCATTCACACGGATGTCTCGGGAGCCCCCTTCAATTGCTGCACTTTTCGTCAAGCCAACTACCGCATGTTTGCTGGCAGGGTACATAGCGCCCTTATTGTACCCGCGCGCCGAAGCCACACTTCCGAGATTGACAATACTAGACCCAGGCTCAAGAAAGCCGGGGACCATCGACTCCGCCAGCAAGTTGAACGTTCCACGAACATTGACGTCCATCACAAAATCATACTCTTCCGAGGAGATTTCCCAAAGCTCTCTGAGCCCGAAACTCTTGCCGGCTGTCCCGGCAATGTTTGCGACGCCATCGACCCGGCCAAATCGGCTCTTGGTGGCTTCCAGAAAATCCCTGACTTGTGCTCGATTGGTAACATCTAGTGGGTGTATCAAAACTCGCGACTTTTCAGTCTCAGTCAGGCAATCATATGCGCTGCGTAAATTCTTTTCACGGATATCGCAAATACCGACGGCCGCACCGCGTGAGAGAAGAGCTTTGGCTGTGGATAGGCCTATTCCGGCTGCTGCGCCTGTAAGACAGAAGACTTTATTTGTGAAATGGGCGGCCATTTTTTCTTGGTCTTTCGTTTTCACTCTCTTTTCCTTTTTAGACGTGGGCTGTTCAGGAAGACGGTACGTTGTAAATTTGTCTCCAGAAGTTTGACGGAAATAGGGCCTTAAATGCAGCACTAATGCTCCGCCCTGAATGCCGGGGTCGTTGCCGGACAGACCGCACCAGCGGTCTGGCTTGCTTCTATCGAAAGACAATGGCTTTAGGACATATCGAAATACAATGGCTTTAGGACATATCGAAATACATTATTACCGGAGATTTGTCTACCCAGAAAGTGTCACCCAATCAGAAAGTTCGAGATAAGCTCTGTGGGGCTTGTGTCTAACGGCGGGCAGGGTAGCGGAATTGTCGCTACTCACCGGCAATTCGGCTATGTAAAGCAACAAACTAATTTCCCCGCCAGTAAACTTGACCAAACCATCTCTTCAAGACAAGGATATCGTGTCGTCAGGCAGGAATGATCTTTGTTAAGATTCGGCTTTCAAATCCAAGAGTATATATGAATCGGACGTCACTGCCATCCATGAAATGGATTTTCTCAATGGATGAATGTGTTGATCCAACATTCCACTTTTTCCATAGAGCGCTTTTCTTTCATCCTACATATCATGAATCAGGCTCCTGTGGGTAGAGCTAACTGTATAATCATGCTCCGATTGTTTGGTTCTCTGCGAATCTTCCAACAATTTACAGTACTCACGTAAATGAAAGTAGAATAATCATATATTACAGGAATCACACCCTCGTCTCGCGGAATAAAGTAAATTTTCAGTAGGTTTGCCCCGAAATCGTGGAAATCGTGGAAAATTATATAAGAACAGAAAGTAGAGGTGTGAAATCACTTATCACGTCATTCGCCGGCAAAGGCGAGGTAGTCAAAGAAATCCTCACCTAGTTTCTCATTGTTTTCATCGTTCTGTTCTGTAAGCTTCGGCAATCCCTCTTCGATGTTACTCAAAGTGTTCACACTGGGGGGGAAAGAGACCGTTTCCCAAATTCCTTGATCCTCTATTTCATATGATTGTCCGGAGTCTGAAAGTCTCTGGTCAACCATTTCATATGGTTGCTCGGACTCAGGATTTTTTAGCGGGGGATTCTGTCCTACCCTTTCACCCTGGTGAGGTACAGGCAGTGGGGAAGAAGTGTCTTTGCCGTCAATTAACAGAAATCGATCAGCTGATATCAAGCTATCCAGATAGAGGTAAAGTTCCACGTAGGTTTGCGGACTCTTCTCAAATATGTCGGAGAAGGAAGCGCCACTGTATCTCATCGCTATATCGACCATTTTGGGCCTGAAGAAACATAGTGTTTGCCCTATAAGAACAGAGAGACGTTTTGTGTCGAAGCGATGGCTGTATAACTGATTGAGTCCCTTAAGCAGCCCAAAATTCTGTGCATTGCGATATCGATCGGCTGGTGTTGACGAAAGGATAACGTTCATTCCCCATAGAATCAGAGGGAACACTGTACATGCCATACTGATGCAGCCTGTCAGCAACAATATTGGAGCTCTAAATAAGATAAAAGGTGAACTGTACGCGCTAGCAGGAAGATATCTTGCCATGTTCGCATCAGCGAGGTCCTTAAAACTTTCTGTTATGTCGGTCACAGCGTCACAGAGTTCTGCGTTATATGACTTCATCGTTGCCCGTAAGAATTCCGGCAACTCGTAGTCTGCAGTTAGACGGTTGGCATGGTTGCATAGAGCCATTCGAGCCGATCTATCTCCAGTTAGTGTGAGTGACATATGTCTTGCGGATATGACATACTGGTAATACATTGAAACCAGAGATAAGAAGAGTCTTGCAGAAGGGTGGGCATAGTCTCCGCCATATTCAGTGCAGGTAGTAAACTCAAAATACCAGGCGGAGAGTCCTAGTTGAAGCTGCATCATTTCTTCAAATATGACGTGATTCTCAGCAAAATCGCCTTTGGTTGAGTTGGTTCGCTCGGGGTACACCGTAGTTAGGAGGTCAGTTGCGACACGGGAGAAATCACATTGCGCAATGAAGATACTACAAAGCGCCTTTTTTGTTTTATAGTCGTAGACCTCCGAGTGACTTATTTCCTTTTCGAAGTCATCCAGGGAGAGTTTTCTTTTTATAAAGGGGAAGTCCTCAAGTCTGATTTGGACGGGCCGACGCATTCCTAAGGAAATCACTCGGTCGCGGGCCAAACAGCACCACCAGAGTTTTTTCAGAATCAGAATTCTCTGATTAACTGAGGACCTAGAAGAGCTAGATCGATCGGTGTTTCCAACCTTCGCGTATTTGATAGCGATGGAGAGCCAGGACGAGTTGCACATTGCGTCGGTATCCGAATTGTGAAAGCTTAATAGTAATGCGGCTTGCGATTTGGATATAAAATTAGATTCATTTCCATGGAAAAAAGAAGCTAAATCGGATTAGCGTCACAGCAATTAGACATATCGTCGACTTAAGGACCAGTGAATACCCTACCCTTGTCTTGTAGTAGAGATTGTTCCGTAGAGAAAGAGGCGAAGAAAATCCATACTCGTTGGCGACACTACTTGGTATGAACTAGGTATTGTTTCAGCAGATATCAACATACTTATTTGCTTTTGTTTTTTGTACGTACTGGCGCTGCTGAAAATAGCATGGCACGGAGCAGGAGTAGAGAAAACTGCCCTTGAAACTTTCTTGGTCGGCGATATATGTTCCAGAACCTCCATTCATCGATAAAAGGAAGGCAGGGATGAACATAACGGAAATAATGATTGATTAAGCATTCAAGCATAGACTCATCCGGTAAATGTAAGCTGCCTTCGGAATCGAGAAAACAAACCTCGGACTCCGGAATGGACCCAAGTTGGGATGAATCAAGGAACGAGTAAAATGCGAATGGCAAATTTTTGAAGTCAGGAGGACCTATAAGCTATATTAGGTACCTTCTCTCGGTAGTATCATGCTAGACGATACGATTTTTATTCCTAATACTAGGGCGGGCATACTCGGTTCAGCTTGAATTGCAAATCCTGTAGGGGTGGTTTCAGCTTCCACGGCGTTTTCTTTCAACCCGCACATGACCTTGTTTCTCTTCTTCCAGGTCGTTGGCCGGAGCCCAGGCTTTGGCTTCGGGGACCGCTTGAGGCACTCAACATCATCGAGGCGGCAATTTGTGCAAGGAAACCCGTGGACCATTGCATCACAACGAACCTTGCGTGCATGACAATATTCACAAGCTACTGCAGCACGTCTAATGCGTGGTCTCTCGGCCAGACTGGGCGAAATTTGAGGAGGCATTTGGAGGAGTACGGATATAACAAAGAGGGTTGTCTCGCATCTAGCTCAATGATCAGGAAAGAACATGGAATTGAGCTTGGGAAAAACGGATTTTGAAATTGCTGTTGATTATGGCTTACATGAATCTAAATACAATTGTATGCATGGTATCTCCACCATTTGATGTATTGTGGGGATTGGCAACGGTTGCAGTGCCGGACCGGTAAAAGCACGTTCTTATAGCCGCTGTCGGTTATGCCGACCCATTATTAATCCGACCCTGCCTTTTGACGATCATGCTTACTCAATACAAGTAGAGTTTTGATCTCGGTAATACCATGAATGATTCAAGTGAAGTAATGTACCAGAGGAAGGGATGCTACCTCATTGGTATAGTAATAGTTATCAACTCTTGTCCGCAGGCAAAGGGTAGACATGGATATAAGATGTTGCTCCAAAGACCAACTACGGCAGGAGAAAAGCTTGAGGGGCTCACGTAATTGATATCGTGGACATATCATCTCAATTTTGTAACTGGCTGTATTGGAGCAAACTATTCAATTTATAATAAAGACGCTATTTAGAGGGCATCTTTAGCCCACCAGGAAGTCAAAAAGACGACTTGTTCAACTCTTAAAACAACACTCAACAAGAAGAATATTGACTCCACAGGGGGCCGCTTCGATTCATTTCATCTCAAAGTGCTCATAGCCGTTCGCCGCTACCTCTTCACAGCGCCGGCGGAATTCGATGTTGTTGCCAAAGTAACGAATAACTCTTCTTTGGCTCTTTCCAGGGCGATTCGAGTTATATCCAGTCATCCAAGAGTTTACCTTTGCAGAAAGGGGTATTTTGGTGCAATCAAAAACATGCTGTGTCCACATCTTTTCACCCTCTACATCAGGGTTGACATAGGTGATCCCATGGTCCTGCAGGTATTTCATGAACCTCGAAACCCATTCGACGGCATATTCAATGACGTGAGGAATATTACCAGTTGCTTGGTGAGGGCCCAGGATATTGAACATGTTTGGGAACCCGGGGACAGCAAAGCCGAGATAGGTCCTGGGGCCATGCTCCCAACATTCTTTGAGACTCAACCCTCCTTGTCCAAAGTATTCGATCTCCTCGTATGATCCAGTAAGGGCATCAAATCCTGTTGCGTAGATCAGAACATCGAGTTCAACATTTTCGGTTGTGGTTTTGACGCTAGTCTCCGTGATCCGCTCAATAGGTGTCTCGAGGAGATCGACTAGCTTCACGTGCGGCTTGTTGAAAAGCTCATAATACCCATTCTCTAAGGGTACTCTTCTCGTTCCGAAGCCATGGCTCTTTGGAATAAGTTTCTCTGCAACAGCCGGGTCATTAACGCGAGCCCGAACCTTCCTCGACATCCATTCACTGTAAAGGTCGTTGGCTTCCTGGTTGGTGAAGATATCCTTGAAGTTGCCAACCCATTTGACCAAGCCTCTTTGATTGTAATGGCTCTCCCATACAGCCTCGCATTCTTCTTTCGGTAATTTCAAGGCTTCTCGGGGGTCTGGTTGATACATAAAACCCATCGGACTTGCCTTGCAAGCTCTGATTATATCCGGGTATCGCTCCCGAATCGACTCCATTTCCTCCTGATCAATATTGCTATTTCGAAGCGGAGCGGTCCAATTTGCCGTCCGTTGAAACACAGTCAGTTGTTTTGCAGTCTTTGCAACTTCCTGGATTGTTTGGATACCAGTAGCACCGGTACCAATGACACCAACTCGCTTTCCAGCCAGCGGAACAGGATCATCTGGCCAACGAGATGTATGATAGGCAATTCCTTTAAAATCTGCCACGCCGGGGATATCCGGAAGGGTTGGGGTGGTAAGAGGACCCAGGCAGTTTATGAGAAATCTAGACGTGTATATCCTTTTTGTGGAGTCGGTCAAAGTCCATGAGCGCGTTGCGCTATCGTAGCGAGCAGATTTGACCTCGGTTTCGAGCTGGAAGTTTGGGCGAATATCAAATTTGTCCACAATGTAGTTGATGTAATTCAATGTGTCTGGCTGTGCGGAGAAATGTTCTTTCCAATTCCACTCGTCTAGCAACTCTTTCGAAAAGGTGAACATATAGGTGTAGCTTTCAGAGTCGAACCGTGCCCCTGGGTACTTGTTCCAATACCAGACGCCCCCTACTTCAGGTGCACGTTCAATGACTTTGACCCGGAGTCCTAGACGTTTAAGGGATATCACAGTATATATGCCTGCCAAGCCTGCTCCGATAACCAAAACATCGGCGTCCAGGTTGGCGTTGTCCTCGGGCATTTTGAATGCCTCGCTCGCTTCTCCAATATTGACAAGATGAAAATTGAATGAAAATGAAAGAGTTTCAATGAGATCTTGAGGTTTGACAGCTCCTCGTCAACTTGTGGCCAATCAAGCCCTTTTATCTATAAGTGGAAAATGATCATTACAGTGCTATCATAAATGTTGACGGTTCTCGGGTCTAAAGAGTTCGGCCATGGAACTCGCTCGGCAACACGCGTCATGTGGCTTACTAAAGCTTATCGTTCGGCTAAACCAATTATGCATTATCTCTCGAGATGCTGGGCTGCGGCTTTCTTTGTCTGGGTATAGAATAGCCGGCTCTTTAACCGGGACGGTACCAAAGTTGACATTTGACTGGGAATGTAATAAACTTGACATGGTGGAGCCATCATTGAACGAAAGCTTAGGCTCATTGTTCGACCTAGTCGTTCTAAATCTTCAGTGTCAACAGAGCAGTCGTTTACTTTTCGACCGTTACGGTGTATAGCCGTAACCGGGTAGCAGACCAAGGAAAATGCGCAAACCAGCCAAGCAAATTAAGAACCGCTTCAAATATCCAGCCCACTTTGTTGATCTTCGACCTATCCAGCATTTCGTGTCTTTTGTGGCAATTGCGTTTCAACATGGCTCTCTCTTATGATCCAGAATGGCTTGAGATAGCTAAACCGGCATTAGATCAAGCCCAAGCAATCAAGCCTGCTATCCACGATGTGGGAGCTAGACGAGCCAAATTCGAAGGGCTAATGAGCAGAGGACAGCAGTCGATTCATCTGCCTGACAACATCGAATACATCGTGCACCATGTTCCGGTCGCAGGTGGCCACGAGATTGATATCCACCATGTCCGCAATACGAACGTATTGGGCGATGATCCCAGTCCTGTGATCCTTCACATTCACGGTGGCGGGTATTTCAGCTTTCAAGCTATACATAGCGTGCCAGCTCTGGCACACTATGTTTCCTCTACCGGAGTCGCAATGATTACCATCAATTACCGCCTTGCTCCCGAGAATCCCTTCCCAACTCCGCTTGAGGATTGCTGGTCAGTTCTGATGTGGGTCCACCATCATGCTCCAGAACTGTGTGTTGACCGCAGTCGTATTGCCGTGATGGGGGAAAGTGCCGGAGGTGGATTGGCTGCAGGCCTTACCCTCCTCGCAAGAGACCGTGGTTTGATGCCCAAACTGGCAAAACACCTTTTGATCTATCCAATGCTCGATGATAGGATCTGTAGCGACTATACGGGGGGGCTCTGTTTCTTTGACCTCGATGATGCCATCACAGGGTGGGCTGCCTATCTCGGGAAGGATATGGGAACAGATCGAGTTTCACCATACGCCGCGCCAGCGCGAGCAAAAACTGTGGATAGCCTCCCGCGTCTTTATCTCGAGTGTCCACAATTGGACATTTTACTACCAGAGAATCTGCGCTATGTTCAGATGTTTGTGGAGGCAAAAATACCTACCGAGTTCCACTTGCTCGAGGGGTTACCGCATGGCTTCATCAGCCTTGCGCCGACCGCAACGGCCAGCAAAACCGCGATTGAAACCCGAATGAGGGCCATGAAAACGATTTAGGCATGGGCGACCCATTTTAGTCAAACATGTTTCCAGGGCATGCACTGTTCCTTCGTGTACCCCAGTATTCAGTCGTTCGTAGCTCAATCCTACATCTCCATCTCTCTCGCTCTGCTCCTATTCAATTTTGAAATTTCGAAGTATGTTGTTCTGGAAATAAGGCGTAGAAACACGGATCTTTCGGTACGCTGGTTAATTCTATCTTATAGGGATTGGTGCTGTGCAATACATTTTATTTAAGTTTTGCTCAAGTGAGACAAATTTGGGCCAACTTGTACAAAAATATTAGAAAAGTCTTAAATCAGCACTGGAGGATATCTGGCTAGAGTTCTTCCGGAATATCCCGCTATGAGAAACGGTAGTTTCAACGAGCCAAAAGTTAGTCTGAAAAAGTGTGCCCCAGCGGGACGTACATACGGACGCAGTTTAATCCGCACATCAGCAACCCAGTTAATAGTCGGGTTTTCTAGTTCTACTGCAAAATAAATTGACGAAAGTTAATCTGCCTTACTTCACTAAACTACAGGCAAAACGAACAATTGACTTAATGAGTCTTCCAGATCCGTGTACTAGAATATAATTTTGCCTGCTAGTCAACTGAGTGGCCAAAATCGGCGAGAAATTTCCAACGGATGGCTTGCTTGAGTCCGTTACTTTTCCAGGAATCTATGCTCTTCTCTGGGAAAAGCCATCTCATGCCAAGATCATCCTTTTCTTCAAATATAGACAGCGCATGATTGTCATGAGCGAGAACAACAAAGACATTATCCTTGGCGTCGAGTTCTGCGATGCCTTCCAATGTCGAAAGACACTGTTTGTAATCATGCGTGTAATCCTTTGCGGGTTGAAAGAAGGGTGCAGTGTGACCATCGCAAGCCACCTAACTCAACTGATGATCCGGGGAGAGCGGTGGAAAAAGTGGAGCGTGAGACGAGGGCCGAAATTCTCCAGGGTGATGAGCGCATTCCTAAGAACAATGTGTTATTCACTATACATGCTGCTTTCAGAAGGCTCGGTAGTTCCCTTACTCCAGCCATGAGAACATATGAGTCGCCTAGTACCCTAGCAAGCCCACACAGATGGCCCACTGCATGGCCCGGGGTATGGAGGACAAAAATGCTCCCATCTCCGAACCAGTCGAGAGCTTTGAATTGGCCGATTTGCAAGGTGTCATTTGTCTCCCCAAAATCAAGCTCCACCAGCTCCCGTCCTTCCCAGTCGCTGGCCAAAACAGGTGCATCCGGTTCGTTAGGATATCCATTGCCGACCGCCGCCGTGGATCCAGGCCCAACAATTAACTCTGTACTTGCCGGAAACAAAGCCGGATTTCCAACATGATCAAAATGAAAATGTGACCAGGTTATGGCTTGCACATCGGGTAGCCGAATGTTATTCTCGAAGAGCACTTCGGAGACGTCCCTTGAAGTGGAGAGATGCCAATCGTGAACGAGTTTATGAATAGCATCGACCACGGTCGGGGCTAGCTTTTCAAAACCTTGGCGAACCGAGAGATCAAATACCACCTTCTGCCCTGATGCGTGACTGATTAAGAAGCAGAAGGAAGGGCCCTTAAGTCGGTTGAAGCCGCAGACCTTCGGCTGCACAAACTGCTCTGCCGGTATGTCGATCCTGGTGCCGCTTACTTGGCAGATTATTAATTAAAATATTTTGGAATACCATAGAGAGGGCATAGGAATACGTACGAATCAACCACATGAACCGACACCGTCTGAAACGATTGTGGAATACTCAATTGGTCACTCGCGGGATTGTTGGAATCTGTTTTATTTTCCATACTATTGGGAAATGTGAAGAGAGGGGAGATGTATATAGAAGAGTATGCCAATTTGTGTGATATGTCTGTGCTGGGCAATATTACGGCTCTCCAAGACTGAGTCGTTGGGGGAGTTAGTTCTTGTAGTAACCACTTCGCGCGAAGCGCCACAATTGCAGTCCGAGGTTTGACTCCCTCAAATTCACTAAGTAGTGGATCTCTCTACGCGCGGTAAATTTAACTTAATCTTATTTGTAAGTCTGACGTAATGGTTGACGTAGTACAAGGTTTATCCAGTCAACGGGAAGGGTATGCGGACAGATTGTCCCCTAGACACTAACGGTTATCATTAAATTATCCCGTGTAACATAAGTCTTTCACCGACAGCGATTGGGGAAATTCTGCCGATCTTAACCAAGCCGACGATGAATACGTCATTTTCAGGATCACTAGCTACGAGCTATTACCGCCACCGATCATCAATTGAACAAGACACTGAACTATGTGTGTCGGTCATAACCTTTCTTCTTATCCCGCCAGTGAAAACTCCTGTGTCAGTTCTCCTATTAACTGCTTTTAACGCGGGCACAGCAGACTTCCTGACACTGTAGCCCTTAGGCCTCGAAAAATAAAACAAGTCACTTGCCAATTACACCCTACGCTCACATAGGCAAGTCTATATGGCTTGTATTATTTGCAGCGAAAAGTCAAATGCAATCAACCTATTCTTTTATATCTTGCTCTTTTCAAAGCCTTCACCAAACTCCAAAACCAGCTTCCCAAACTGTTTTCCATTTCGCATGTCGGTGAAGAGGGATTCTATGGCGTCAAGATCGTCCAAGCCTGTTTGTAAGATTCTCGAAATCACGGGCCGAATTTTGTGAGCCTTGACGAACTCGACCATCTGGCGAAATTCTTTGCGGGAACCCATGGTCGAGCCACGCACATCGATATTCTTGATAACAGCCTGCATCGGAAAAGGCATCTTCGGAGAAACGGTCATTCCATAGAGCGAAAGAACACCGCCGGCCTGAAAATATTAGACTTTTATTTTGGCATTTCATGTGGACATGCGAAATTAAGTCCAAACGCACCTTAAGTGACTTTGCAGACCTTCCAATTGAATCTCCTTCGGCGCCATCAATGACTGCGTCAAAGTGCGGCCTATCAGGGCTGAGCATTGCTAGGAGCATTTTATCCCAATTGCCTTTTTTGTAGTTGACACCACCCTTGGCACCCATCCGAACGGCCTGCTGAATCTTTTCCTCGCTGGAACTGGTGACGTAGACATCTGCACCTCTCACAATAGCAAACTGCATTACCATCAGTGCAACGCCACCACCAATGCCTGTAACCAACACGACAGCACCTTTTCGGCAGTTATTCATCCCGGCTTTCGTCATCAATGCTCTCCAGGCAGTCAATCCAGCCAAAGGCAGTGCAGCCGCCTCCGCATCTATAAGATGGTCAGGAGCTATTTCGACATCTCTTTCGTGAATTGTGATGTATTCCTGGAATGTCCCTTTCCGGTAGTGTCTTGTTCCTCCCATAACAGCGTAGCCCTCTTTACTATCGGGTCCCTCAATGGCATCTTTCCAGCCCTTTCCGGGATTGAGAATGACCCGCTGTCCAACCCATTTTTGCAACGCAGGGTCCCGGGACCCTACCGAAATAACAATTCCAGCACCGTCCGAACCGATAGTGACATCGAATGTGACACCGGCATTGAGCCGTTGCCGAATAAAAACGTCTCGATGATTAAGGGCAGAAGCTCTCAGCTGTACAAGAAGTTCTCCTTCCTGCGGGATGGGGTTGGGGATGTTGCGTAAAGAGAGTGGATAATAAACACTATACCTGGCTTTCCAGGGGTGTCTCCACTGAGGCCAATGAATATGGCTTTTCCCATAATAACAGGTGAAATTGTAGGTTGCAACTTTTTATTGAATACACATTCGATCAAGATAATACCCAAGCTGTGCGGGGTTTCATAAGTAATTATTTAAATTATGCCGATGGTTAACATTTTGCGTCGGTAAGGAAAAAGATAAATTTCCACATTTAAGATCTCCTCTGAAAGGCTATATGCCCATTTCAAGAACAAAGAGCGGCATGGATTTGCCGAAAGGCGGAAACTGGCCGACTTTAGGCAATCGGTAATCGCATGGGCGTGAGATTGACCGCATTTAACTGCCTTTTGTTTTGTTCTTTTCTCTGAATGTGACCTTCCCTATTTATTGTCAAGTTCAGTAACTGCGAGAGTTTTCATCGAATTTTGACTAGGACCGACTATGGCAGAATCCCGCCAATTTCATAGCCTCAGTCTCGAAAGGGGAGGCAAGGTATTTATAATTACCATGGAAATCGGTCCAGAGAATCGCTCGGCCCAGAGAATCGCTTAAAGGTCAGATTCTGCCAAGAAATGATTGCTGCATTGGATGCAATCCGGCAGACTCTGGGGGCATACTCCGACGGAGCTCTTATTACGCGTGGGAATAACACTAAGTTTTTCTGCATGGTATACAAACCATCAAAGCCCATAAGTTTGTAAACTAACAAATTTCCCTGCAGGGACTCGTTCTGGAGGAGGTCAGCCAGAATTCATTTGCAAACACAGACGGCTTTTGCCCTGTATGTTGAAGGATTTTTGAAACGATGGCATAAGCTACATTTCTAACCTCTGAAACGCAGCTCTTGCACGCTATTATGAATTTTCCGTTCCCGATGATAGCACTAGTTACGGGCCATATTTTCGGTGCCTGCTGTCCTTTAGCTCTTGCAAATGACTACCGCATCATGAATGCGGACCGCGGCTTTATCTCCATGCCTCCAGTTGACCTTGGGATACATTTCTCGGGCATGAGTGTGCTTCCTAAATTCAAACAATGGCCACAAACTGTGCGAAAGATGCTCCTGGAAGGGCACAAGTTTACCGGGAAAGAGGCACTGGAAGATGGAGTTGTCGACTTTATTGCATCTCCCGAACAATTGCTTGATGTTGCGTTAGAACTCGCTAATAAATGGGCGCCCAAAGCCAGAGCTGGGTAAGTTGAGTATTCACTTCATTTGCTTGAGCGTCTTCTCATTTTCACTGTCTGGCAACAGGGTATACGGCCTTTTACGATCTGAGTTGTGGGGGGAGATGAACCAACGCATGCAGCAAACAGTCATATTCATAGTCGGTCAACTTTTCCGATCTGGCAAGCCAAAAGTTTGAGAGCATGAGTGAATGGTTCAGTTTTCCCATGCCAAGATCGAAGAAATCGAATTTTTATCAGATGGGACTATCAGATGTCTGAACTTTACACGTGATCATTAATGTCTACTTTCTGTTATAGCAAACAAACGCCTTGAGAAAGATCTTGTCGTCTTATTGTTTGGATACATGGTTGGAGAAATTATGGAATCTCCATCTTAGATTTGACCAACGTGTTCGTATGCGCTATAGATTTGCAATAAGATTTCACTACAATCTCAATTATTGGACCCATTAAGAGCCTCTCCAAGTATGCCTTGCATTTATTCCTCTCCCTACTTCTTGTCTCGTCTACTAAGGAAACCCTCCTCCCCACAAACAACCAAATCCTGAACACTATCACTTTTATCTTAATATTTGAAAGCCGCGTAATAAATCGAGAGATACACATCATAAGAACATTGCTCTTCCCTGTAATGGTCCGGAATGCATTCAACCTTGTTCCAATTTTTCCGAGGCGGCTTGGACTGTGTAAAACTTGATATCCGGCTGAGATAGTACGCATTAAACCATTTCAGCCTTGCCCCTTTTTCTTGCCCTTTCATTTGCCCCTTTGATAACTGTAGATAAATCCCCAAGGGGGATTGTAATAGGAAAGTCGACTGAAGCAAGTACTAGGGCGATGAATATGTAGAATCCAATCAAACTCGCAGCCAGCAGCAGACCTGCACCGACATGCTGAAGTTTTGTGGCGTAGACAGCGTCACCGCGAGCGATAGCGAAGAAAGATGCAGTTAGGCAGCCAACTTTTGCCTAAATTAGCTAATATAATCTTCTTGAATGGATTATATTCCATTTACTTACCCGCAGGAATGAAGACAATGAACAACGAGAACAAGCTCACATTTGTTCGGATGCTTGCGATGCCGAGTACTGTGAGGACAATCAAGATTGCCACCATGAAAAACGCAAACGTGGCAAAGAACCCGGCGTTCATGCCCTTGGCCAGATCTGAAGGATCTGGAGAGTAGGCGCCGTACGCGTTGAAGCTAGGTTGCAAGGTAGCGCCGAAGGAAAACCAGAATCCCCCTGTGCATCGCATCAATACCATGAATTATACGTCAGGCCACGTCTGAAGACGGCCACAGGTAATCAGGCGCGATAGTAGGAGTAATACTTACCGAATATTGCAAATACTGTGGCAGGATAAGTGTTGCCTGTTGAGGCTTATCAGCAAGAGTAACAATTTATAGTCATTTCCGTCAATCACCTAAAATCCATTCCCCGACGGCTCCTAATATCAATAGAAGACCTCCCATAAATACAAGAGAACCACTATGAGCTGTTAGCTGGACAGTATCTTTCACTAAGACATTGAGCTTACACATTTGCAGCGTCAAGACCACCTGCACCGTCCCAGCCCAACGCCACCATCGAGAACGGTGTAGCACAGATCAGGAAGCCACCCAAAGCTGTTTAAGGATCAGTCAGGTGGAAAATGAAGCGGATAAAAGCCAACAATAATAACAGTACCGATTGGAGTAGGGTTTCCGAAGGTCTGTCGCAATTCGCCTTTGACTCGATTGTGAGGGGAAAGGTACAACTGTTCGAACAGTTCCGGTGGGATTGAAACATTTCCTGCTGTTCTAATGCGTTGCAATGGATCGATTTCTTTTGCAGGAGAAGGTGTTGGAATGATTGGCTCATGGTGGTTCTCCTCGCCAGTGGTAGAGGACATTTTGCTCATGATAGTTAAGAATGTTACCTCAAAATGTGGAGAAGGTGGAAGCTTTATTCAATTTGCTTGTGGAAAAATGGAGTCCGTTTCGTCCTAGAACTCATACAGCCCCAGGGCTCGCGGATTTTATAAGCTTCTCTCTCTCATTGCCGTATCCAAGGATGGTAATCTCGAAGCACCCGTAAACAACTATGCCGGGCTGGGGATTACCCAAGTGGGAGCAGATTTGTAGCTTCGGCAATCTGGGGTTTGAGTAATGCGGGTAATGTGGATAACTGGAGATATTTTGTTCTAGGTTTGGGTCATATTATTGAAAAGCCAGTTTTCAAAGTGTTGTACTTCGGCCAATGGGAGACACCACTGGGTATTTATTAACTTTATTTCATACCAATGATACCGGAACTTTAAGGACAGACTGTACCAAAGTAATTTAGGTTATTTTACACAAAATTGACCGGCTTGGGTATGTTCTCAACTTTAACTGAAAAGCAAGGTCGGCATGTGAGTTCCGCTTCATGTCACTAGAGCCGGGTTACGATCTAGTATTCAAAGCTGGACCATCTTACAGTCATCATACATGGTGGACTATGTCTACTCTCCTTCCTCTACATTGACCTATTGCACCAGTTGTATGAAAGGGCACGGTAGTTACGGGGGAGGGTCCCCGGACTCACCTTTCATTGGTCAAATAACCGGCCGAGGAGTACCCATCCCCACTACCTTGACCCATATCTATACCAAAGTGACTTCCATATTATTGGAAATTTTCCTTGTAAATTCTGTTTGGGTTATATCGTAGTTACCCCACACTCTGGCTGGTGTAATCGGCCCCATAAATGTATATCAAATGTCCACTGCGGGATCAACTAATCCTCCAATAACCACAGGTCCATGCCGTAACGAAACCCGGCTTAGTGCTAGGTGCAGCATGTTACTGTAGAAAAATATATGGGGCTGAAGGGACGGGAATTTGTCGTACAGATCACAAAGAACCTCACCTAACGTGCCCCGCGTTGGAAATATATTAAAGGTGCCAACTGGTAGACTTAGTCACCGACGAATAACTGTATTTTCGAAGATTGTGCTTGCCTGGTGATAAGCATATCTTACCAATATCCTCATTGTATGATGCTTCTCTCTTTTATCCATTCCAAGCCTGATTACATCCTATTCTGCCTGGGGAGATGGGGAGATTATAATGCCGAGTATCCACTAACTATTGGACTGTTGTCGGACCGAAAATGCTGTCACCAGAGGGGAGGGTGGAATCGATTGCAGTATTATGATTCTGGCTTCGTGCCATTGGACCTTTGTCGTACTGACAGAGATTTGGAGGCTTCCATTGGCTAGTTTCAATCGATTGAGGGTTCAAATATCAATGACCCGTTCGGGCATCCCCGCAACTAGACTCGCTAGTTGCATTCTGTACCGAAAATGAGATTTAAGGAGCTCCCGAAGAGAATCCAGATGATTGGAAATAGACGAGCTGAGGTTCCTTGTCCAGGTTCCTTTGAATTGCATTTCTGTGTAGTATTTGTCTGGTATCTTATTCTTTCCTCTTCTTCGTGATTGTCGTTATATGGTACTTGGAACTCATTTGGAGCCTGGGGTCCAAATTCCTTAGGCATGAGCAAAGTTTTACCAGAGATACCAGACTTCCCGACTTCTCGTTCAGTGGCAGCTATAGAAACGGGCACAGGGACCTGTCGTTTTCTGTTATTTTCTCAGCCTTTGTTCGCTATTCCACCTAGTCTTCCTCCTATCTCACCTTCTGCTGAGCTAGCCAACTAAGACGACTGGGGTTCGCATAACAGTGATGCTTCGGATAACATACAACTCAAATGGCGAATTGGGACGTGAAGTGCACCTCGTAGCCGACCTCGCACGACTTATTCATACAGGAGGCTTCTGCCGCCACCTAAGCCGAGCTCGTGAAGTTATAGCCGATGCTGTAATTTTGAAATATCCTTGTCTATGTCTTACAATGTTGATACAAAATACCCAATATTGTGCTTCAATTCAACTTACCCGGAAACTCAACTGAGTAAGTATACGAACTAAACGTCTAATTGACTATTGAATACAATATCGAACTGAAGTACGTGTATCTGTTGCAGCGAACTTAGATTGGCTGAGATATAGGGGTAAAAATTTACTGTGGGATACAGAACAGGCGGTTCGGTAGTGTCGGCAGTTCGGTAGTGTCGGCAGTTCGGTTAGACTTCCGCAAAACCCAACTTGGGTCGAAGGTCTCGACGCAAAACCCAACCCAGCCTGGGTCCGGGTTGAACTTCTCTAACCCACTCGCTTACATGGCCCACTCGCTTACCGATTACGTTAACGTAATTCACAAGCGAGCCGCCCACACAAGCGAGCCGCCCACCTCAAAACACCATAGTAAACGCGATATTTAAGAACAAAATATTTCAACAACCACAAGCTTATTCTATTTAGCTTTCAGTAATTCACTAATCTAGAGCACAAATAGCCTAATTTAGGGGTCTGGGATAATTTAATAATCATATCACTACGTTTACCATAAAATACAATGTAATTAAGCTCTCTGAGCTTGAAATATATATTTTCAATCCACCACATCTTGAAAACATTCGAGACCTTCAAAATACGTCGGACTCAATTGTTGGAAATTGGAGCCCTCATCCTAAGGCGCCAATATCGGTCGGCATCTCTCTGCCCCGATGGCTGCTGATTGGTCAGCTAGGCCCATGAGGTTATTGGAAATGGGCGCCCGTATATGCAGGTTCCTTATCTATATCGCCTTCTTTGCTTCTTTTCAGGGGGTTTCCCTATGGACACCGGGCAGCGGTGTAGGAGAACATTTTTGTATGCATTTCTCTTAGAAAACAGTTCTCAGGGGTAGGATATAAATATCCCCCTGAGAACGAGTAGAAAAGAAAATCAGAATTTACCATCAATTACCTATCTATCTTCTTTTCGTCTGATTATCTACCCCCTAATTCTCAATAGGTTATAAGCCCGGTTGTCTAAACCATAGACACCGGATACCCGCCTAGTTTACCTCACCTCTAAGAGGCCCCCCGGTCGTATAGATAGCATAGCATTATGCCATCATCGACCCATACTAAGACGGCTAATGCTGCAGCCACAACCGCTGTCGCTGGAGCATTTCCGCAACACCTAGTTCTATAGACGTCGTTGAGAACGCTCGTGGAACCCGAAGACGATGGACTAAGCGCGTAGATATCGCGCGAAACGGCTTATAAGCAGCCGTATGCACCGGACAGCGCTTAACAGTAGCCTAACGGACCCTCCGACGACGATAACCCGTCCTCCGAGGATGATGAAGACGACGGCAACGACAGCGATACTAAAGAAAGAGACGGCTCTAAGGATAACGATCCTCTAAGGGCCTCCAGTGCCCACGGTATATCCTCAGCACGCCGTCTAAAGAGCCGGTCGCCTATCTTAGGCACCGACATCCCCAAGGATAGCAAGAAGCGCATTAAGTATGCATTCCGTGCTATTAAGCGTAGTGGAGACTACGTATAGGTAGAGAGACTCACTAGCGCGCCCACCTATCGTTAATGGCGAGAAAATATCTCCGTAGCCCTCGAATAGGATAGCTTGATGAGCATCCTCGACGGCACTATTAAGGAACCCCCGAAGGACCACGACCTTCGATTCGAATAGGAATCCATTAATATCCGCGCTAGAAGAGTCCTACTAAGCACTATCTCAAAGGAGATAAATAAGGACCTCGCGCAGTACTATCTATAGCCACGCTTTATCTAGAAGTAGATCAATTCTTAGCACTCCGTCTCAGACATCTAGACGACGCGCGATAGTTTCGACGCACTTAGACGTACGGTTATCAGCCGCTGCTCTGGAGTAGTAGATTACGTCTATAAGATCGAGCAAGCATATAAATATACGTAGACAGGACGCCCCCGGAACACCGATTGGGAGATTAACCGATACTGGTATCTCCTTACTAACCTAGACACGCCTAGATGGAAGGACTAGAAGCAGAACTTCCTCGAGAAAGCCGAGGAAAAGAGATAGACTAAAGATCTATTTAATTTCCGTAAGATCGCACGAAAATTATTACTCGTAAAGACCAAAGAGAAATAACTATCTCTAGTCTTCTCGACGAGCACGAAGAGCGGAAAAGGACGCTCTCGTAGGCCCCCTAATAGCCGTAGTGCCTACGAGCACTACGGAAAGAGCGGCTATAATATCGACTAATGCTAGAAGAAATACCTAGACTAGCGCCCACTGCGCCCTCGCGGAAGCAAAAGCAGCGAGAGTATAGGCAGTAAGACTTTAAATCAAGACGATTAAAGTAAAGATAGCTTCTATGCTATAGCCATAGAGGTCATTAACCCCCTAAGCTACGCGCTGTCGACGGAATTAGAGATCCCGGATATACTACGGTGGATTATGGACATAGCCTATAACGAACACATAGTGTCCTTAAGCGATTTCTTTACCCCTAGAAGCACTAGGAAGGTGACTAGGACGGTCCGGATAGCTCTGGCTACTAAGAATGTCGACTATATTATCGGCGACATTAAGATAGTATTACACGACGCTAGCCGCGAAGGACGGCGAGTGCGCCTATATAACGTACTATACGTACTAGGGATCTGCTATAACCTTATAAGTGGCCCAAAATTGGCTGATAGAGGCATTAAAGCCACGTTCGACCGCAGAAACCTCGCCCTATAGATAGAAGATAGCACACTACTAGCCACTAGCACTAGGCGAGGACGTCACTAGCTCCTAAACGTCAAAGAGATTATATAGGACGCTACGGACGTCCTAAATACGTCTACGGAAATATCTACGGAAATGCTTACGGAATCCACGATAGCTACCGAAGCTATAACCGCGTAAGACCCTAGAGATATAGTTATAGCACGCACAATCAGCGAGGCAGAGCGACAAGAATCGCTAACCTCTAAGCTAGATCGGTTAAGACTAAACGTGGAGATATAGCACCGCCGTCTCTGCCACCT